ACTGCCCAGCACCCCGCCACAGATCCCCCACTGCCCAGTGCCCCCCCACAGATCTCCCACTGCCCAAAACACACAAACCTCCCCCGACCACGCACCCCCACCCACTCACTGCCCAGCACCCCCCCCCTACAAACCCCCGAGACCCACTTCCCTGCGCCCTGCCCCCCAGCCGCACCCAGCGGCCCCGTTACAATGTCCAGCAGGCTGAGCCGGCAGCACGGCCAGGGCCGGTCCCAGTCGGGAATCGCTCCAGCCCCCCACGAGTGGCACCATCAGCCAGGCCAGAGCTGGAGTGGGGCCTTCAGTACCCACTTGCCTGGCTCGGGGGGAGGGGAAGGGGGCAATGACAATGGGTTAAATAACTATGCTCAGCTGCTGCCACGCTGGGAGCAGGGCAGACCCCTGGGACGCAACCCCCGAGAGCCCACCTAGCCCGGCCACAGGCAGCATCCCTGCCCAGCCCACATGGCAGAGCCCAGCTGCTGGGCAGTGAGCCCCCAACAGGCAAGCAGAACCTGCTGGCTTGGAGCCACTGGCACAGCAAGGCCTGGGCACTGGACTGCCCTGGGCAAGGGGCCAGTCCCAGCTGTGTGGATGGGCTAAACGGGTCCATAATGGGCCCCTTCCCCATGTGGTCCGGGCACCATTGGCGCCATTATAAACCCGGTACTGGTCACCGCTCAGCCATGGGGCAGATCCCATCCCCAGGGCCGGCCTTACATGTGGGCGACCCCCAGGGTGCCCTGGTCAAGAGGGAGTTAACAATAACCATTTTGATTCAAAGAGTTCAGGCACAACTGTCTCTGCGAGCTAGAAAAGTTGGGGCTAAAGGTTAAGGGTCAAGTACAGGTTCATCTCGGATGCTGTGGTTTTATATATCAAACGAAAGGGCTGGTCAGGAGCCTGTTAACCAGGCCCGTTTTGCTGGTGAGCAGCGAACGGAGCTTCTTGAAGTTGAAGCTCATAAAAACCTATTTGCGATTGACCAGGGAGACGACAGGCTCTCTTTGCTGGCCACCGTCTATCGAGAAGGCTGTGGCTCCAAACAGAGACCTGTCACAAGCAAGGGCAGTTTGCAGCAGCAAAGGCATGAGGAGTTGCCTTCTGAGCTTGCACTCCTGGGGAACAGTTACTCATTTGTTATTATTTGCTAGTTTAGTGTTTAATGTCATGTTTAGTTTGTCTAAGAGCATATGCTGAGAATGATACCATAGATATCCCCAGTACTGTCTTATTCCTATCTGGTTATGTGGGTTGGAGCGTTTCTGGCTTTATCGCTGATTTTAATAAAAATCATCGAGGCTTTGCTTTGCCTTCATTGCGTGTGTCCTCGTCATTCTCCCCGAGATTCCTGACGAGATATTGAACTCGTTGGTTTAGTTCTGTGTAGCCTGATTCTGGGACAAGAACCCTCTTCCCCTCAGCTCATTCATCACTTCAGTGGGCAACCAATGCAGGTGTTCTGAACCATTCAATGTATCAGGCAACACAGAAAAAAAGACCGAGTGGGAATCCAGCTGTGCAACAAGCTTCTAACATCTGTCTGAGCTACAGGCACGGTGCTCCCAGAGCTCAGGTGCTGTGTTCCTCCCCACCTCAGGGTGAGTGGAAAGCAGAGCCCCCCTCTTCCCCCAAATGCAAATACGCTGCAAACATGTCACCCCCCTGCCCGAGAGAAAAGGGAACGCAGTGTTTGTGGCCCATTCGGGCTGTGCCATCACTGCTCAGCACAATCCCCTCCCCTAGCCAGGATAAGAACCCAGGAGTCCTGACTCCCAGCCCCCCTTGCTCTAACCATAGAGAATCCCCACCATGTGAAGACTCTAATTATAGAGAGACCGCGCACACCCCACGGGAGAGCCGTAACCATAGAGAGACCCCCCCCCATGGCAGGACTGTACCCATATTTCCACAGCATCTCCAGCATTCCAAACCTGCAGCCTGTCCATGCATGGGGTGCAAACAGGCAGCTCCCTGAACCCCCTCTCCCTTCCCGGTGCCACTTTCCCCCCCCCCCAGTCCCCAGCCACAAAATCCTGGGTCGGGGCAGCTCCGGCCCTTTCTCTCCCCAGTCCGGACCCTGTACGGGGGACAAAGTCCCTGACACACCATGGCCCAGGGCCGCTAGAGGGCAAATGCAGATGGGAGAGGTGGGGAATTATTTGTAGTCTGAATTTGTCTAGCTTCAGCTTCCAACCCCTGGGTCTGGTTCTGTCTTTGTTTAACCCTGTCAAAAATTCCTCTAACACATGGATGGGCAAACTACAGCCCTCGGGCCGGAGCCATTTTAAGCTGGCCCGCAATCTCCCGTTGGGGACGGGGGTGAGGTCACACCACGCGGCTCGGCCTTGCTCCAGCCGGGGCACTGGGCCGGGGGTTGCACCACACGTAGGAGCCGGAGAAGGGACATGTCACTGCTTCCGGGAGCCGCTTGAGGCAAGTGCCGCTTGGAGCCTGCACCCCTGAGCCTCTCCCCAGGCCCCAACCCCCTGCCCCAGCCCTGATCCCCCTCCCGCTCTCCAAACCCCTCGATCCCAGCCCAGAGCTCCCTCCTTCATCCCAAACCTCTCATCCGCAGCCCCACCCCAGAGCCCGCAGCCCCAGCCGGAACCTGCACCTCTTCCCGCAACTCTACCAAGCCCTGATCCCCCTCCCGCCCGAACCCCTCGATCCAAGCCCAGAGCTCCCTCCTTCATCCCAAACCTCTCATCCGCAACCCCACCCCAGAGCCCGCACCCCAGCCGGAACCTGCACCTCTTCCCGCACCTCTACCCAGCCCTGATCCCCCTCCCACCCGAACCCCTCGATCCCAGCCCCGAGCACCCTCCTGCACCCCAAACTCCTCATCCCCAGCTCCACCCCAGAGCCCGCATCCCCAACCAGAGTCCTCATCCCCTCCTGCATCCCAAACCTCTCATCCGCAGCCCCACTCCAGAGCCCGCACCCCCAGCCGGGACCTGCATCCCTTCCGCAACCCAACCCCAATTTTGTCAGCATTCATGGCCCGCCATACAATTTCTATTCCCCAATGTGACCCTCAGGCCAAAACGTTTGCCCCCCCTCCTCTAGTAAAATCAATCTCCCCACAGAGTTTCTTACAGACAATGATCAAGGCACCGCTTAACCAATCCGATCGTGCTTTCAGGGTCAGGCATGTTATCCTTGTAGCTTTTTCAACACCCTTTTGGAACGTGCCAACACCAGAACTGGACCCCATATTCCAGCCGAGGACTCCAACTGGAGCTGCAGCTGAAATCTGCCCAGATGATGAAGCCGGTGCGGCGTCTGGGAGTTTGTTTATTACGGGTAGAGCCCTGCGCCGCTACAAAAATGTGTCTCCATATCCGATGTGCACTCCGCAAAAACTATCTGTGGAGATCTGCAGATATGAGTGGCTTTGCAGAGCTTTACATCGGGGCAGGCTGAGGTTTTGAGGCACCCTCCAGCCCTGCCAGAGCCGGGCTGGGGAGGGCTGCATGGGCAGCTGTGGGGAGCCGGTGCGGAGTCGTGGACACTCCACTTGCCCTCGGCCAGGTGGGAAGCCTGGGGGGCGGGAACACGGCAGGGAGTGGAGGGTCTGCCGCGGCTCCCCAGAGCTCCCCGGCTGGGCTCCACACTGGCCTGGCCGGGGTGCGGGAGGGAAAGGAGGTGACCTGTGGAGCTGCCCCGGGGCTGCTCCGGGCCCCCATCCAGGGCAGGTGGAGGGTCTGCAGCTGCTCCCTACAGCTGCCCACCCGGCTCTTACCATGCCCAGGCTGAAGCTGCAACCCCCTCCCTTCCCCAGCCACCGGAGCCAGGCCCGGGAGAGCTGCGCTGGCAACTGTGGGGAGCCTGGGTCCCTCCACTTGCCCAGGGCAGGTGGAGGGTCACACCGCGGTTCCTCACAGCTGCCCAAACGGCTTTTACTGTCAGAGCCCTGCACAGATACAAAATTGGTATCCGCCTCCACCCTGGTATTGCAAAAATGGTCTAAGTTATACAGTGGATCCCTACGGATTTGCAGGCTCTAGTGATGGGTGCACGTTCCCAGCTGCGTATGGCAGTGATACTGAGGGCTCTTTCCCCTGCCGAGCGCGACTGAGGATACCAGCGAGATCCCCGTATCTCAAGCCAGAGAGATGCCCAAGAAGCTGCAGGCAGCGGCGTGTGTTTAATGCACCTTTATTAAACCAGCGCGGTGACTGTCAACCCAACGGCAACAAATACCGAGATTAGGGAATGAAGGTAAATGCGATATGCGCTGGCTGGCGGGGGTGGGATCTAACAGTGTTATTACGTTAAACATGATCTGCGGCAGGGAGTGAATGAGTCAATAAAGCGTCACATGATGGCAAGACGCTCTGATTAGAATCGATACTGACTGTCAGCCTGTTGATACAGCAATGGCACACGGTACCCGGCCAATCATTGTGAGTTGTTTGTATTACGGTAGCAAATAGAAACCAGGGCCCCATTGTGCCAGGCGCTGTACGAAGATATAACACAAAGGCCCTCCCGGAAGAGCTTTCAATCTAAGTGTAAGACTATTGGCAATAGGTCAATTCAACAAACAGGCCAAGAAAAAGTGCAAGGAAACAACCAGATGATTCTGGTCAGCATGAAACACCC